TCTTAATAATAACCTGCTTTTTAGTCTACATTACTTCCAAGTGATAAATTGCATGGAAATTTCTTTGATGCATTCTTCTGTTAATTCTCTAGCTTCTCCCATGTGCATGTGTATCAAAGAGCAACTAAAAGACATTCAGAGCCCAGGCTTTTCTAGAAGCTCTTGCAATGCAGGCTTTTCCCATACATGGGCCACTTTTGCTTGTTTTTTTTTTGCACTGGCTTCAATTAGAGGTAGACACCTTCTCTGCTGGTTAGGACAGTCCTTTCTTACTGTTCCAACAGCTTTGAAAATCTCTACCCTCCTTAAGAAAACATTAGTTAGGGACTCCTGGGTGGCTCAGTCGTTAAGTGTCTGCTTTCGGCTCAGGTCATGATCCCAGGGTCCTGGGATCGAGCCCTGCATCGGGCTCCCTGCTCTGCAGGAAGCCTGCTTCTCCCTCTCCCACTCCTCCTGCTTGTGTTCCCACTCTCGCTGTCTCTCTCTGTCAAATAAAGAAATAAAATCTTAAAAAAAAAAAAATTTAGTTAACTAAACAACCAGACTCCTGGGCCCTACAACACCTCATTCCATGCTCAGTACCTGCTATTGGGTGACCTTCTAATAGAAACTATTTTGAATCTTCTGTTCATTTTCATTGCTCCCCTCTAGGCCTTTCTGCATTTATTCTTATTTCTCTTTCTTTGGGGGCTAGATAATATTGCATTAAGTGGAGCCAAGAGGATTGCTCAGCTCATTTTTTTAAACCTTCTGGAAACAACACTTCTTGCTGACCTACCACTTGAAACCAACAGCACTTGTATATAAACAGCTACTCTTCATCCTACATCTGGGTACTTAATTCTGCCTCATGAAGTATTTGACTCAGTCCTTATACCTGTAAATTTTAATTTAATGGAATTTTTTTCTGATTTTTTTCTCTAATTTGTCATATTCATTATGAATTCTGATGTTTTACTCTATAAATTGGTTGCCCAGCCATGTGTCCAAAGTTGGACCTAGGGTCGGAACTCTACCATCAGTTATTAGTTAATTGATTAGATAGTCTGGGACCCATCACAGCCCTCCATTTCAAAATGCTCCTCTCCTAACAAATGTAGGGTTCTCGTGCCTCCTTGGCTGGACTCTGACCCAGCAGAGTTTAAATAATATTTTCCTCCATGTTTTGCTAACTTTGGGAACCATCAACCCTACAGGTTGTTAAATTCTAGAATTTCATATGGGAGGCACAGAAGCCATGAATATGATTGACTGTCTAAATTCAGTGCAGTAGTAGATTTTGACCTACCAGAAAGAATCCTGCAGCCCGGTAGACTCCCTGCCAGACAAATATTTTCAAGCACAGCCCAGAGCTGAAAGCACTAATGAATTCCAATCCCAAGGCAGCACACACTCCGGAGGGGTTGTAATTGACCAAGAGGTAGAAAACTAAAACGGGAAGGCCAGCCCATCCTTTGGGGAGCTGGTATGCAGCACAGGCCGACAGCGAGGGCTTCAGGCGCCAGGCCAAATGAAGAGTGTCCCCAGCAGCGTCACTGCCACATTGGAGCTAAAAGCAGGTGTCCTTGGCGGGGCTGTCAGGGGCCTCAAACCCCCTGCCACTGTCAGCACAATTATATATGGATGCATATTTTTCAGCAAGCGAGATTCTCCGCTTTTATCCATTTTTCAAAGGGATCCATGAATCGTAGAGGGTTAAGAAGCCCTGTTTGCTGGATGGACAATAATCCAAACTTCCAAAACCGATAAAATAGGCTGTTGGGGATGGATAGAACGAAGAGATTGTAAGGAAACAGTGAACATTTATTGAATGCTAATTGTGCACCAGAGACTCTTGAGGACATCATCTTACCCTCACACTAACCCCATGAGGTAGCCAGGGGGTGTTGGAACCCAGCTCTGGCTCCAAATGTCCATACTTCCTACCACACAGTCTTGCCTCTAAAAAATGGAAATGACTAACCATTGAAGATTAATCAAAAATCATGGTAAGCAAGCTAAAACAATGGGGAAATATGGATTTGATATTCAAGATGTAATTTATATCTATTTTTATATATCTATATAAAAATTATTTATTTATTATATGTTTAAATACATTTATTTACTTGTTGAATAAAGTTGGGTAGTTAGACCAGACTGGGGTGCCAAGAAGGTGGAATGGACCAGGGCTCAGCTTTAAAAAGGAGGGATCTTCTTGAGTGAAAGCTTCTCAAGAAACAGGAGAAGATGGGGCGCCTGGGTGGCTCAGTCGGTTAACCGTCTGCCTTCAGCTCAGGTCATGATCCCAGGGTCCTGGGATCGAGCCCTGTGTCAGTCTCCCTGCTCAGCGGGGAGCCTGCTTCTCCCTCTCCTCCCCGCTCATGCTCTCTGTCACTCTCTGTCTCTCTCAAATAAATAAATAAAATCTTAAAAAAAGAAAGAAAGAAACAGAAGATGTAAATGGAACAGCCCCACATCACTTTTGGGTTTCTCAGGGAGTGAGATCATGTGTGTATGAACCAAAAGATTTGACTAAACTAATTTAATTTCTCTTGTACATCTCTGTACTAATCAATGACAGTCATTTCTCTGGTACATATTAAATTAGGTAAATTCTACCATATGACACTCTAGCTCTGGACTTAAGTATTAATGATTTTCTTACAAGCAGAGTTTAGGAAATCTTGCCACATGTAACTGAATGCTTAACTACTCCCCCCAACGCCACTTTCTTTACAACTGTAAGTCCTGAAAGCCATATTGGTGACTGTTTTATGAAAAATATTTGAGAATTTTCAGGGAACGTTTAACAAAAATGATCACAAATTTCTGGAGTTTTCTGTATTCCTTTTTTTTTTTTTTTTTTTTTTTTTTGCCAGTATATCTTACCTTAAAAAATGTGATCATCCATTTGGAGTGCTCTGTTTGGGGAGGCTGGACAGGATTAATTCCCGTCCTGGTGTTGCAGTGTAAACAGCTTTTTGCCTGTCTTTTGTCATTAATGATCATGCTGTAGCTGTAGCCAGTGCATTGTAAGCCAATCTGTCAAGGCAAATAAACAATTCACCTTGTTAAAATTCCCTAAATCTTGCATTAATAAAACCAAACTAACCCCCTGAACACTCAAGAGATGTCTTCCTCCATACTGCAGTGATGGATGACATGTCTAAAAATCCTGGAAATTAAGTAGTTCAGGTCATTAAAAGTGTCCCACACTTGTTATTGATTTAATTTATTTTAAAAGGTGGGGGTGGAGATAAGAGTGTTAACCCCCACCACCACCGTTTTTTTTTTTTTTAATCTGAAAGCTACCACTTGTACACAAAATTAAAACTATTGCCTGGGTGAACAGCTCTGTATTTGTTACAACATCAAGCTTTATTATTTAAATAGGTATTGTGTCATTCTCTTAAACAGATATCTAGAAACATGGAGATAATCATTACAACTTATTTTATGGCAAAAATTCCCTGGAGCTTCATATATACAATGATCCTTACAACCTTTGAGTTCTGGGCACTGAAATAATGACCTTAGGGGCACCCCCAAAATTTCCCTGAGTAGATGAAAATTTAGAGGGTCATTGAAAATAGTAGTGAAAGCATGCCTCTGGGAAGAGGAGCTTTTTTCTATTTTATGTATTTTTTGTTTCCCTGCTTTCTGTTTACTTTCCTTAAGCCTCAGTGGGTACAAGCAGCTCTGTAAGGAATAGGAAGAGACTAAGGCAGGGCTGGGTTTCCAGAGGCCTCCTCTCGAGGAACTGAACAGCAGGAGGATTGAGTGCTGGTGTAGCTCAGGGCTCAGCCTGCTTTGCTCATTCCATTCATATGTCCTGAACTGGGTAACTGTTTTAAAACTCTGCTAGAAATGGGACCACTCAGTATGTAAATTAGGACGAAAAGCAATAGGTTATATAGAATTAATATTTCAAAATATACATCATTTGACCTTTTGTCATTTGTGCCTTATGCATCACATTGCATAGCTATTCCTGATCAGCCATGTGGGTGATACTTCACCATCCCTCCTCATTGTTCTTTAAACAACACGTGGGAGGAGGACCATGGTAAATGATAAAAATGACCTTTGAAAATAATTCTCTTACTTTCAGAGATTATCGTACAATCTTTGATGTTTTTTCCATGGTCTTTGTGAACAAAAGGAGGGGGGAGGGTGGTGGGAAAGAGGGGCAACTGTTTAATCAGTTCATACACTGTGGCCCTCTTTTTTATAAAAATAGATACCCACGAAAATGCACTCTCTCATTCTCCATTAGATTTCGCCTTGCACTTGCGTAATTCGGATAGCCGGGAAAGGACATGGTTATGCCATTATGCCAGCTCTTTAGCAGAGCTCCCTAAATGGAAGAACCGTATAGATTTTTTTTTTTTTTTTTTTTTTTAGTATATACACTGATTTACACTTAGTGGTAAAGTTGTTACTGACCCTTTAAGTGGAGCTGTCCAAATGGCCATAAATGTCAGTTGATCCTAATGCCGAAAGAGGTGATAGCTGAGGGATCTTGGCTAAATCTTCCAGTTAAAAAAGCCATGTAGTATTTTCTAAACAGTAGTGGTCTCTTGTAGACACACACATACACACATGCCCAGACCACTTTATCACCCAGTAAGGAAAATTTGATGTACATATCTTAGCAGAATTATTGAGGCTCCCAGGTTTTTAAAATACTCTAATCAGAATCTCCATGAAGGCAAGAGTTCTGTCTACCTGGCGGCCCGCTATCTGCCCCCCTCGTCAGCATCTGACGTGTAGTAGATGCTCCATAAATGCTGGTTGTGTGAGAGATAGATAAAATGGAGTATTTGGTGACACTGAAGAGCATGCCTGTCCCCTGAATTCTTGGTGGGTGAAATAGGGACCACCCCACCCCTTACAGATTGTGAAGAATGGTGCTGGTAAGAACTTAGATGGGCGGTCATGACTTTTTGACATAGTTCATTTGATTATTGATTGCCTAGTAAATTTCACTTTCTAAGTTCTCTTTTCTCCTTTCGCAGGCTGTCATTTTGGAAAATGAAGAGCTTCCCAAACTCTTCCTTGATTTCCTAAATGTGCGACACTTGCCCTCACTACCAAAGGCAGAGAGTTGTGGGTAAGAAGTGTTGTTCACCTATCAGACATGTATTTGCAGCTACTCTGCAGTCACTTGTTGGCCTAACCAATAACCCCAGTGGTGCTGGAAGGGTCAGCCTGGCCACACCCATTCTCTGTGCTAGGACAGCACTCACTGGCCCCCTGCATGTGGTCAAAGGAATTCCTCTGCAGTCCTCACCCCTATATTGCAGCCAAATGACCAAGGCTCAGTAACTCAGGTTTAGACTTTTGCCTTTTTAAAATATGCTGCTTCATGGAGTGATGTTATATCATGGGAATTATGAATCTAGATAGCCTATTGAGGGACTAATAAATTTATTTGTGGGTACTTGAGCAAAGCTTATATGCCCATGCATATGCAGTCATATTATCTAAAAGCTGTGAATGACCTTGGAGGTAATTTTAGCCAACTCCCTTATTGTTGATCAAACTGAGACACAAAAATTAAGTGTCTTTCCCAAAATCTCTCGCCTTGTAGCTGGCAGGGCCCAGGACTTCCCACATGAGCTCTCTTTCCCTGCTGTCTTGCTGCCTCTCCCACAGGACCTTCTAATGCAGGGCTGTAAATCCCAGTCCCTGTGTACCAAGGAACCAGACATTTGATATCATCAGCAACTGGGAAGTGTTCTTCTGAAGAATGAACTCTGAAGCCACTTGCCCAGCTCTGGGCCCCTGACTTAGGTTGAGCTGGCCTCCAAAGGCCATCAGCATATGACATATGTCAGCATACCTCTGACATATTAAATCCATTTACAGAGAAACGCATCATTACAAAGTCTCTGCAAACCCACGCAGGAGAAGGGGTTTTGTTCATCCTCTTGTTGCCTCCAGAGCCACCTGAAGGATGCACACTAGCTACAAGACGTTCACTCAGACCACACCCAGAGTCGTGTTAAACCCCAGCCGTCTTCAGGATGAGAGGCTGCAGACACCAGCTCCCTCACTGGTAGTGTTTGCTCAAGGCCACGCTCCACTCACCCCAGAGAACATGGGTGTTCTCCAAATAATAGGCATTGCCCGTCTGTCCTGTTCTGACTTGAGTGCATTTGCTAGGAGGTTGGGCTCTATACAAGGGTGTTTTTAAAAAGAGATTTTAGGAATGACAGAGTGAAATCTTTTCTCCATTATATAAGCCCAAAAGTAAAACCATAGGGTGTGTAAGTGATCTTCAGGAAAATTGAAGTTCAAGAATATGGTGGTCTTAAGATTCTTTAGAATGAGGCATCAGTCATGCTGTGACATTGTCAAGACAGCTCTCTCTTCAAAATGTTCCCCAATTCAGAGCTCTAAGAATACTGGCTCTTTTTCCCTTGGTTTGCAGCATCATTTACCCAACTTACATGGTCTTCCTCTTCTTCTTTTAAAAAAATTCTAGATCTTTTGATGAGACGGAATCTGAAGAATCAAGGTAAGAGCTAATACTAGTCAATCAAGAGTTATATAAAACCAAGAATAGGACTATGGTTCTGTTGAGTGTTTAATGACTATGGTATAAGTATATCAAGTCATGATCTTCTTGATAATATTTGTTAGGCAATTAATTTATAAATATTTGATAGGAAGTTAGAGAAGTAACCAGTTATATCTAGGAATGAAGGGATAAGAACCCTACATTGTTTTGTGCAAGTAATAATACTATTTTATCAATAATTGTGCTGTGAGATTTAAAAAAAAACAAACAAAACCCAGCACTTTTCAGCAATGATTTATCATATAGATTGTATATCTGTTTCAGATTCCACAAAGAAATGTTGAGAAGGTGAGCGCAGTGCTGGTTCGTTCCCTGTAACTCTGCTCACTATTAGTCACCCACACGGTTAGATACATAAACCTTGAGATGTCCCCACACAGCAGTTTGATCCCCTCAAAGCTAGTTTGTCGTGTTTTCTGTTTACCGTCGTCCCCTGATGCTGACATGCCTGTTCTTGACCTTTCCAGCAAACTGTCCCACCAGCCGGTACTGCTGTTCCTCAGGGATCCATACGTCTTGCCTGCAGCCGGCGGTAATCAAACCTGTCATCGGCTAACAGCTCTTTACTGATCTGACCCTGCACCACATAAACCACGTTTTTAATACAGGTCTAACAGAGTGACATTGGTCCAGGGCTTAATAATCTGCCAATAAACCAGTGCTCTTGGTGTAAGAGACATTCAGAATTTTAATTGGGGCAGGCCTTTCAGCACGAAATGTAATTTTTCTTTCTACCATACCAGGCAATTTTGAATTAGAGTGATAAGGAGGAAAGATATTCATTGTCTTTTCTTTGTTTGTTTTTGGTGGTGTTATATTTTGGTCTCTGCTTGTTTTTATCCAGATGCTAAGGTTTGATTTCAAGGCTCTGGTTCTTTTTTTTTTTTGAAATGGTTTTTCCCCCAAAGCAGTGTATGTATATTACATGTATATCTTTACTTCCATTTAGGTTATAGCATTTCAGATGATCAAATGTGTATTTTTAGGAGTTATATCCTTAAATATAATGAATTTATGCATAAGGGTAATCAATATTTTAGCCTGGGTCCTTTCTTTGTGCCAAGAAATTTAAATTCCTCAGAGTCCCTCCCAAAATGGTCTGCTCTACACCTCTTCATGAGTACATTCTCAGACCTTTTCTCATGTAATATTTTTTAACAGCCCCATGTAATAGGCAGGGCAGGTATCCTCATTGGCTAATGAGAGAATGGGGGCCTGAGGAGGTCCCTGACTTGCCCGGTGTCACTTGGCTAATGGGCAGACCCCTTGGTGCCTAATTTCTCCTTGTGTGCTCTTTACGTAGAGTGAATGTTCAGCCCTTGTTCCTGGGAGTAACTAAATAGCATAGCAACTCAGTAGCAGTAGATAAATTATCTGTTGAAACCGTTCCTACATTCTGACAATAAAACCTTATCACCAGCAAGAGGAGGGGACCGTTCTGTGGCAGCAGTGTGTGTCCTGAGATCAGTGACTTAGCTAGCAGAGTAAAGAGGGATGGCCAGGACCCAGCCCGGCTCCATGGATGGACCACTCCTGGAGCCCTGATCCGAGAGAGCCGCCTTTGCTATATAGGAATATGTTCTTATAGTATTTTCCCTATACAGTCCTTTCAGTGAGGAATGATTGCCTTTGTCTAGCATTTGCTGCGTGTTTAAAAAAAAATGCATATTATATTAGTTGACATTAGGTTAACAAAATGTTACAGTTAACAGATACGCATCATGTAATCTAGGCTAGAGGAAATAGGCAGCGTTCTCTAAAGCATTCTTTTTATCTTCTGAACGTGGTTCTACAAGTACTTTTTCCAGGTATTGTGGATGGTCAGAAATTTCATGCATTGGACCGATGACACTCCTGTGGATGTGTGGAGAATGGAATGATCGTTGTGATCATAGCCAGGGTGCTTAGTGGAAGAGGGAAGATGTTTTATGATCTGTGCACCTGGTTGGGCAACAAAGAAACAGGAGGAACTTTGGCAGGGAAAGAACTTCAGGGGCAAATATCTGGAACTAGAGAGGGTAAAAGTGTGTATTGTTGGTAGAACGTTGGCGTGGACGGATGACTTGTGCAAATGGGAGATTGCCATTTGAAGAGGACACGGAATCACAGGTTTTATGGACAGGATGGTACCAGGTATGGGAGGGCCCATCACCGGATCTGTTTTTGTGCAGTTTGGCCAACCCACCTTCATAAATCGGATTCCCGTCATCTTACAAGGATGAGCTGCTGATAGGCTCTTGCAGATCTTTAGCATTTAAATGAAAGATAAATTTTACTGGCATCACATTTCTGTGTTATTTAGGCCTCTTAGCAAAAGTGGAGGGTACTCTTCCAGAGGAGTCTGATGGTGGAAATACTGTCACAGGTGAACCGACAGTCAGACACTATCCTTTTATAAAATGCCAATAATCAGTCTTCTCTGAACATACGCTTTTTGGCCTCTGTTTGGATTTCTCAGGGGAATGCACAAGAGCTCTTGCCCTGGTCCCCAGCATCTGCAGCATGGCTACACTCTGGATGTTTTTTATCAGCTTTCATCAGACCTTCCCTCAGCTTCAGCCACCATCGACCACTCTCCCCTTTCATCCACGGTCTCCCCTGGGCTTTCCCCCTCTGCCGCTTTTCTTCCCATCCCCAGCAGCCCACCAGCGGGCTATCATAGACCTAGACCCTCTTGTCTTTTCCTTTGCTTTCTTTTGGATGATCTCCTTGCTTGTGGTCTAGATGACCTTGTGTATACAGCTGAGACACAGTCTCGGGTTTCCATCCCCACCCTCTCTCTCTGAGCTTTGACTCCTATGAGGCTCTCACGGCCCTTGATGCTCCAGCCCCTGCTCCTGTTTCTAAGAGGAGCCCCTCCATGCTCTGCCGCATGCACCCTGAATTCTTTCTGGGCCTCCAAGGTGTGCAGTCCATTCCCCCACCCCAGGGCACTGTTGTTCCCCCTCCCACCCCCGGGAGCTCTCTTCTTATCCCCACACAGTGCTGCCTCTGCATCTTCCAGGCGCAGCTTGAGAGAGCCTTTGCCTGCTCTGCTCTCAAAGACCCCTCAAGAGTTCCCCCCTCCACCAATCCCATTGCCTTTTCTTTTTAAGGTCCACAGTAAATGTTCACCAAAAAAATGAGAACCAACAAAAAATGACAAGTAAACCTTTCCTAAATCATCCCCTCTCAATGGGAAACAAAGGTGGGGGCAGCATTCAAGCACTAATGGACACTGAATGAAAATCCTACGTATGATGAAGCCGAAATCCAAAGTGTAGAATGGAGTGGAGCCAGATGAGGAAAAAAATGACCTGTGATAATCTCCTCGTTGGTCCCTGGTTGGTGGACCTTGTTATAAAATACCTCTGTTCCATTCACTTTGATCAGAGTCCCCCCATTTGCTTCCTTTTCTGTAGTGATCACACACACTGTTCCCTTTTTCTCTTTCTGTTGTGTTCACCTTCTGAATCTCCAGCCTCTGGCACATGTTCAGCACTTGCTGGACCATAAACACAGCGCCGTGGCCTGCCATCTTCCCTGTGCTGGGAATGGCCCTCGCCCGGACACCCTGGTGGGTGGCCGCTGCACCCTCATTCCCATGGTGCCTGCCCACAGAGGTCTTTCCTCGCCTTCCTGTCCCCTCACCCTCAAGCCCTGTGGCCTACTTCAGTTTTCCCCTTATCTTGATTTATTTTTTTAAAGATTATTTATTTATTTGGGAGACAGGGGAAAGAGAGCATGCTGAAGCAGGGGGAGGGGCAGAGGGAGAGGGACAGAGAAAGAATCTCAAGCAGACTCTGTGCTGAGCATGGAGCCCGATGGGGGGCTCCATCTCACAACCTCAGGATCATGACCTGAGCTGTCATCAACAGTCAGACGCTTAACCGACTGAGCCACCCAGGCACCCCTCCCCTTGCCTTTAAACCACTGCTTGACCTCTTCAGGTGATGTAGCATTACTCTGAGTAATTCATGGTATTTTCCTTTTTTTGTCCTTTTTGCTGAACTTACTTAAATCCATTTAAGCTGAATATGCTGATGATGGAATTTCACTAACCTTCAAATAAACTTTTATATTTTGGGTGGCAAAGGATAAATGTCCAAATGCTAATAAAGCATGTTAATGTGTTCTGTTTGGGCATTTAATTGAGAATTGATCAATATCTCCATTGATGGCTCCTGGTTTCAGTACACTTCTGTGGGGGGAGAAATACTTTTAGAATTAAAATGAACTTAGCAAAATCATTGCTCTTGTTTGGGTTCAAAATACATAGATTTAAGTCCTATTACAGATTATTAAAGGTATGTTTTATGGAAAATTATGTTATTTCATACTGGATAAAAGCAAACGCTAAGAAATCGAGTGTCATCACCCAAAAGTAATTGAATTGCTCACGTACTGGAGATATTTTTAAAGCGTATTTTGTTGGTGTATTCATTTGCTTGTCTCCCTGACTAGCATGGAAGTTCCCTGGTGTGGGCAGGGACTGTCACTTACTTACATTCCCAGTAATTAGACCATACTTGGTACGTGATGGTAGCCAGTACTTACCGCGTGCCCAGTTCAGGTGCAAGCGCTTTGTTTTACCTCCAGTTTGTACAACAACCTTTCAGGCAGGTACTGTTATGAAATCCCTCACTCATCACGGGGAACCCACCACCACTTTGAATTTGTCCCCGTGTACCCTGAATGACAGCCAGAGCTATCTTTTCCAAACACGATTCAGTTCTGTGTCACTCTGCTTAAAATCCTTCAGGAGTTCTCACTACTTTTCAGACAAAGCCAGAATTCCTGGGCTTGCCTGGGCCCTCCGGCCCTCAGGCCTTCCCCTCCCTCCCTGTCTACACTGGCCTCCATTCCAGCCTTTGAACCTTCCTGGCTCCCTCCTCCCGCAGCCTTGCCACCTGGTCCGCTCCTCCAAGAGCCTTTCTGCCCTTCCTTGCGAGTGGCTTTACGTAGTAGGTACTCTATAGAGGTTGGATTAATAAGTGAACATACTAGTTTCTGTCTGAAAGTATTGGACCAACTAATTTCCTTACCTAATAACTATATTTATTGAAAGTGGTGGGCTTTCACGTAAATCCTGGATATAATTATGTGCAGATTGAAGTTGAGAAATTGAACCTCTGGGCCGTGTGATGGATGGGGTCCCCCGTGCAAGGTATCCGTTCATATTTTACCTGCTCTGATAACTGGAATGCTCCACGGCGGGTGCACACCTCTGGGTTTCCTTTGTATCTCCTCTAAAAATGTGGCTGATTTTTCCAGTTTGACAGGATGGTTTTTGTCAGGAATGTGCCCTTTTAAGTTAGGAAGACGGTCCCTGTTCCTCCTGCTCCCTGGAAGCTCGTGCAACAAAACGATCATCCTCAAGACAACTTGGACTAAACACTGCTGTAAACCACAATGGAAAAACTGCAGCCAAGTATTCCCAGTAGAAATCTTGGAATCCCTTCAAGTATATTGAGATTTTGCTAGAAATTGAATTGCCAGTGTAATCCATCTTCCTTGTGAGAAAACATTCAGATAAAGAGCTGAGGCCTAGCAGCATTAACCATTAGAACATCCCTTAAATCAATAAGCTACAAATCTGGCCGTGCATTCCTGCAGAGCCTGGTCGTACACTGAAGTGGCTTTAGGCTGAGGCGACATGACAGATAGCGCGTCCTCAACAAGAGCAGGCTGCACGGTGTTGCGGGTCCCTAAGTTACGAGGGGCCTCACCTTGTTCAAGTCTGCAAAATGCAGTTGCGTTTTATTGCTGTGCCTAAGAAAAGCCGTTTTCCTTTTGTTTTTCAGATTTTCCAAATGTGGTTATTGAAGGAGTCCTCCATGGGATATTTTACCCCCATCTGCAGCCCAGGTAGAAATCCTCCATGGCTAGAAGCTGAAGCCGGTTTCATGGAAATCGATATGTACCAAATTAACCTAAACTCTATGACATAACAGCTCTAGCTAGTGGTAAAATTCACAGTCCCAGCTTAATTCAGGGCAGGGACATTTCCATTAGAATGGTGCTTTTAAAAATAGAAACTGAACCAGGGCGGTGCTGAGGTTAAGGCCAAGTGTTTGAGAAGTAGAAGGTAGCTGCCAATTTCAAAACTATAGAAGATACTGGGAGCAGCAAGTGTAACAAAACAAATGTTACTCTCTGCTTTAGTTGCACCATTTGCTAATTGAACATCTTATCCTGAATCATACTGAGACTGATCTACTTTGGTAGCTTGTTGTTGTTGTTCAGATTTTAGGAGACACTAATCTTTTCATCATGAGAGTTTCTTGGTCAGTGATAGATACATTCTTACGTCCTGGCACCGTGGGAGTATCACAGATACATGCAGTGCTAAATGTGAGTCGGAACTAAACTGGAAATTAAACGATGCTGACAGTGTTAGGGCATTTTTAAAAATCTTGTCATTGCTACTCACACTGCAGTGGAGTTGCATCATACCTAGGGATTAGCTTCTAGTGTCAGGACACAAGATAAAATGGAGTATGGAGATTCCCCTTGACAGCCGTTTCGAAAGGCGCCATATTGGAAATCTGTGCGTCCAACACAACCAGATTTTCTTCTGGGGTTGGAAGAAAGGACTGTTTCTTCCGTTGAAGACCATTTGACGTTGTTGATGTTCATTTAGGGCAATTTTGTATAGAACCACATACCTTTCAACACTAGAATCACCCTTCGTCCTGCAAGATGCTTGTCTTCTGAGAGACAGATGTGAACTGACTGTACCCGAGGAGATGCCACAGTGGTAGCACTTGATTTCCTCAAGGTTCTTCAACCCTCATTAGGGTTCACTCATTCATTAAACTGGTGGAATTATCACGGGATTCATTGTTATTTTCCTTATTGTTTCCTTTTCGCTGACCTCCTATATGGAATTAATGTTAAGTTCAGTGAATGATCTAACTCCACTGTACATCTCACTGACATTCATATTTTGAGTAATAAAGGACAAAAGCATATATGCAAACTTTATGTACGTGCTGTATTTGGGCCTTTCATTGAAAACTGATTAACAGCTAGCCTATTTATGGTTATTCATTTTACTAAGCTTCTGTGTGGGAGAAAAATATTTGGATTCAGAATGAATAACTAAATCATGGTTTTTGGTCAGGATCTAAATATACAGGTTTAAAGCCTGCTGCAGACTTTGAGAGATACCTTTATGATAGATGTGTTACTTCATGCTGGAAACAGGCAAGGACTCTGTAATCAAGTGTCATGAACCAAAAATAACTGAATACTCATGTGTGGGAGATACTTTTTAAATGTTTTGTTGTAGCTATTTTGAGTTAAATAAAAACAAAGAACAAGAAGTATTTGAATTTGTCTTCTAGGATTTTACTGGAAACACAAATTGTGTCTTGTCTCTTTATACACACACACACACACACACACACAAAACTTCTCGCATACTCATAGGCATTTATTTTTTTTTATTTTTATTGTTATGTTAATCACCATACATTACATCATTAGTTTTTGATGTAGTGTTCCATGATTCATTGTTTGTGTATAACACCCAGTGCTCCATGCAGAGCGTCATAGGCACTTATTTCTAATCTAAGTATTAAATTACCTCATCTTTAAGCCAACAGGTACTCATTAAATAGGTGATGACTTACAAAGAGGGTAGGAATTTTTAAGATTTTATTTATTTATTTGACAGAGACAGTGAGAGAGGGAACACAAGCAGAGGGAGTGAGAGAGGGAGAAGCAGGCCCCCCACGGAGCAGGGAGCCCGATGCGGGCGCTCGATCCCAGGACCCTGGGATCATGACCTGAGCCCAAGGAAGATGCTTAACCGGCTGAGCAACCCAGGTGCCCAGGAATTTTTTTTAAATATAAAAACCAAGCATTTTTGATGGCACACTCCTCAAGAAATCTCTTCTGATAATTTTTTTAGTGCTGACTTTTATTTATTATTTAATAGTTTTTAATATGTAATTTCATATTCCGTTTCAGTTCCATTATAGGAAATAGAAGCCACAGTAGGTATTTTAAGGAGAATGGACTAATAAGAAACTGGATGCTCATAGAATCTTTTGGAAGGGTGAGGAGAGTGAACTCCTAGTGGGTAATCCAGGAGTGACTTCCAGAATCCTCCAGCAACATCTGGTACCCACCTGCCAAGGGAGGTACAACCTTTGCATTAAGCAGGAATTCACGTAGTTAGGAGGCTGCTCCTGGAGCTACTGAGGTCAAAAACACCACTGCAGCTGTGATCCAGGTACCGGCAAGTAAGATCAGGAAATCACTGTGACCACCATTAAGTGCCTCATAGCAGCACCCAGGAAGCTGGACCCTGGGCCCTGGAACAGTGTCCAGTTGATACCACCTACACTACAATTGCTTCTCAATACTCATGGCCTTGCTTGCCCACAACTACAGCCCCACGCAGCGGGAAGATGGTACTCACCCACTTCCATCTTCCACCCTGACTCATGAAAGTACATCCACTTGGCAGAACCTTATTATCGATCCCCAGCTTTGAGGGAGTCGGAAAGGGGCTGGAACTTTCTGGTCACTGCAGTTCAGGAATGGACATTGGAAAGATGACGGAATATATTTCCACAGTTGAAAATGTAGTAACGACACATGAAAGGATATGTAAACTAGAAGAATCGCCCACCCTGTCCCTGTATTCCCACTGCCCACCCCCACCACAAACACCCACTGTGCTTAGTGTACGTGTATACTTGCAGAGAGATTTCATCCACATGCAAGCAAATAGTGGACATTTAGTGTACATATCCCATTTCCCCCCCTGTTTTTAATTTTTTTTACAAAACATGGATTTTTTTTTTTTTTAAGGCCTGGATTTTTCAAAGCATGGAGTCATAGACAATAGAACAGTAAAGAGTAGAGGAACAGAAACAGAGTAAAGAGAAGAGAAACCCCGTTGCCACAGGAGGCAATGCTCCTAGTTGGTGGATTTGCTGGTGTGCCTGGGCTTGGTCTCAGATTTCCCTCAGTTCTTCATGCAGAGCCCCTCTCAGGCCTCGCTTCCACCACACGGCCATTTCCGGACCAGCACCCCCTTGGTGTCCTTTCTCCCCCACCCCAGGATTTAGACCACTGGCCATCTATACAACCCCGATAACGCTTACCATCCCTACCTGGTAAGTCCTTAGTCGTTTCACTTCGAAAAGCACAGAAACCTCATGATCACAGTTTAGAAATAACAAATGGCTGTCACCTCGTTGGTCGCCTTTAATCAAATGGTAATGGCTGCCTAACGTGCTCAGCCGGGTGTGCGGGTACAGCCATTAGAGTGGCGACTATCAAAAGCAGCCAATGACAAGTGTCGGCAAGGATGTAGAGACCTTGAAACCCTCATATGTTGCTGGCGAGAATGGAAAATTGTGCTGCAGCCTCTGTGCAGAATGGTCTAGCAGTTCTTCGAAAGATTAAAATTACCATGCGATCTAGCAGCTCCCCCTTCTGGGTGTATACCCAAAAGAAGCCAAGTCGAGGGACTTGAATAGATTATTTGTACACCCCAGTTCTTGGCAGTATTCATGAATACCAACAGGTAGAAGCAACCCAGTGTCCATCAGTGGATGAATGGATAAACAAATGTGGTCTGTGCATGCAATGGGGATATTTTTCAGTGCTAAAAAGAAAGGAAGTTCTGACACATGCTACAGCATGGATGAACCTCGGACATGCTAAGTGAAAGGACAACTCCAGTGTGATTCTACTTCTGTGAGGTACCTAGAATAGTCCAGCTCCTAGAAACAGAAAGTAGAATGGTGGTTGTCAGTGGCTGGGGGAGGGGGGGATGAGGAATTAATGTGCACTGGGTTTCAGCTAGGGAAGACGAGAAGGTTCTGGAGATGGGGGATGGTGATGCACAATAGTGTGACTGTACTTTATGCCACTGAACTATATACTTTAAAATGGTTAAAATGGTAAATGTTGTGTGATGCATGTTTACCAAAAAGTTTTTCAAGTTTTATTTTTTAAAAGATTTTCAGTGAGTATGGATGTAATAATGCTAACCAATTAATGATACTTGCCAGGGAGCAGGAGGGATTTGGGCACACATACTTGGTGCAATGCTCCTATCCCCGACAGCCTCTCAAACAACAGTTCTCCCTTGGGGATACATACACATCACAGTCACCTGGGTCTCTGAATCACTAAATCTGGGCTGGATGGGGCCTCTCTCTGGGTACTTAGAAAAACTGCCGAGTTGATGCACCACCACATTGAGGATTAGGTTCCAGCATATGAATTTGGGGGTAGGGGGTGGGACACCGACTTTGAGACAGTAGCAGGACTCTACAGAAGCAGCGAAGGTGACAGACCCCTGTGAGTCGTGGTCTCATTGATACCCTTTCGGAATATGTATTCAGTTACTCATCCACTCCTTCAGTGACATGCATTTGAGTTCCCTCGCCGGATTAAGGCACTGGTTAGGCATCTAAAGAATAGAGACATAATCGTCTTCTCTTGGAATTTTTGGCCATTTACTAGAGAGTGTCTTTCCTTTTAATTGAATTGGTTATAAAGTTCAGGGAATAAGGCTGTCTTCTACAGTCCCTATATACGCAACTTGGAAGCCGTCCTTTTCATCTGGGCTTTGTCGTGGTTTTCATCCTTCATCCTTGATGGTAATTACAGATTTTGAATTCAGCAGTGGAAACCCAGGGAAGAAACAGACACTAACTCAAAACTGATATTTCTGCACCATTTATGTTTTCTGCCCCCGCACAGACATAGTGAAAGTCTGGGCTCTGGTGAGGGTGAAGAGGCACTTATTTTTGTGCGAGGGGGAGGAGGGTACGTTAAAATGGTAAACCTCTGGAGTCCATGTAATTATCTAGAGAAGAACTTGGTTTTATATCCTAGGAGTAGAACTGTAAGTCTGCCCTCTAAAATGTGACACATTTTCTGTCTTCACGACTCTCCGATCATCAGTCAGAGAGACCTCAACAGTGTCTCCA